CCCCCCCCCCCCCCCCCCGCCTAGTTCTGTTCTTCCCTGCCATAGGCTCAAAGCAGTTCTTTATTCATTAACAGTAACCACAGCATACAGAGGGAAATCCCACATCAATCCCTGACTCTCTCCTGATCTCCTTTAGTCCTATCCTGTGATCTGACTTCGCCTAATTTCTGAGGGCTCTACTGGGCCTGCCTACCCTCTAACCAAAGAGCTATATGTTATGAATACCATTGGTTAATAAAGAAGCTGTCTTGAGCCTGTGATAGGGTAGAATAGAACTAGGTGGGGAAAACTAAACTAAATGCTGGGAGAAAGGAGGTGGAGTCAGAGAGAAACCATGTAGCCCAGCCAGAGACAGACGCCAGTAGGAATCTTGCCGATAAGCCACAGCCGTGTGGTGATACAGATTACTAGAAATGGGTTAAATTATGATGTAAGAGTTAGCCAATAAGAAGTTAGAGCTAATGGGCCAAGCAATGATTTAATTAATACAGTTTCTGTTGTGATTATTTTGGTTCTGGGCAGCTGGGACAAAGAAGTGGCCTTACTACAACAAAGAGCCAGTCCAGCAGGCACCAACACCATCCTCCCTGAACCCTGAAAGATATACCCTTCCTGACTCAGCCCCTACATGGCCCTGCAAGGTCTTCTGGAGACTGAGTTCATGAGTGACCTCTGACAGGTGGGAAGGCCAACAGACCACAAGGATGGAAAGGAACCATTGTTTCTGCACTGGACCTAGCAACTGTACACAGTCAGACCCTTGACTCTAGGCTGGACATGAAAGGTGCGTATATGCCCATGATCTCTGCATTTGGGAGGCTGGGGCAAGAGGATGGAGAGTCTCAGGCCAGCCTGGGCTACATAAGAGGCATGCTTCTGTTGTCGACTGCAGGTAGGAATTCCCACATGCCTTTCACCAGCTTCCTCCAATATTAAAATACTGTGTTGTGTAACCAGAACACAAGCCTGCAAGCCAACACAGTAGCACGGACAGAAGGCCACAGGCCAGTTTATAGCTCGTATTCGTGTTTCCTCAGCTTTCCCACAGAGTGCCAAGGCCTCAAAAGATGCTAAGTTCTGTCAGACACACAAAGCCACGTGTCGTTTGATTCTATAAGCATGAAGCGGCCAGAAAAGGCAAATGATACTACTATAGGCGGTGCAAAAATCATTCTGTGATTCCCTGGGGCTGAGAGCCTTGGGTGGCTACAGTGTTGGCGTGTGTGCAACACTGGAGGGTGGACTTAGGGCTTTGCACATCTTCAGTAGGTGTTTTACACATCATCTTCAGCAAGTGTTTCACCATTCAGCTATGTCCCCAGGCCATTTTTTTACCTTACGTTTTCGGCAGGATCACTAAGTGTCTGAGGTTGGCCTTAAACTCACTCTGGCTCAGGCAGGACCTTGATCTGTGCTCTTCCCCTCAGCTGGGATTATTGACATTCACCAAAAAAGGCCCATGACCATTTTAAAAGACCAAGGAAGGTGTGGTGGCACACTCCCTTAATCTAGCACTTGGGAGGCAGAGGCAGGCAGATCTCAGTGAGTTCGAGGCCAGCCTGGTCTACAAAGAGAGTTCTAGGACAGCCAAGACTATAATACAAAGAAACTCTGTCTCCAAAAACCAAACTTCTTCCCCCAAAAAAGAATGTGTTCTTTTCATCCAGGCCTTCTTCCCCAGATGCCAAGCTTTTAAAAAATAAGAATATAGTTACCGACCCCAGTTATTAGTACTGATGTAGCTTAGTCACTAATCTGTGCATTGTTCCTTTTCATTACTAGAGGCAAGCTAGTTTATAGAGAAAAGGGCTTTTGTTACGGACACAGAGTCCAAATAGTCCACATAGTTCCAAAATACAGGCTGCTGGGGGCTAGGAGCTACAGGGGCGCTGTGTCTCACTGCAGCATGAGTGTATGTGTATCTGCATGTTCAGCGTCCATGTGCTTCTCTGTGTGGTCACACTACCTTCCCTTTCTTTATGAAGCTTCGAGGGTTCAATCCTGAGGGATCCACTCTCACAAGCAGATCTAACCTAATCATGTCCCGAGGCCTCGCCACTAGATACAGTAACCTGGTTAGCATCTTACTCTCTGACACTGAGCACAGGGCTCTGAGAATCAGACTCTTGCATGACCTTGGAGGGAACACATGTCTATAGCGTAGACCATATTCAAAGTTCCACAGTTACCTCAGAGTGTCCTTTTTCTAGTCCATTGTATTTCGCTGAAATGTGTCCTTACATCCTAAGTGAGATACAAATCCTCCGTCTGGATTTGGTTTTTGTGGGGACAGAGTCTCTCTTTGTAGTGGGGATGGCCTGGAACTCATAGAGATCTGCCTGCCTCTCAAGTGCTGGGACTACATGTGTGTGTCCCCACACCTGGCCTTTGTTTTTATGCTCTTGATACTGTCTAGTGTCTTTGATATTGAGTGCATTCAATAATTTCAGGACGGAGTGGTGTGAGGCAAAATTTCATGTACGAATGGATCCCAGGCTGGCCCCAAACTCACAATGTAATCAACTGAGTATTACTTCAACTCCTGACCTTCCTGCTTCTACCTCCCAAATGCTGGGCTCACCAGCATTTGCTACCATGTTTGGTTGCACACATTGGTTTTATTTTGTTTTGTTTTGTTTGTGATACAGGGTTTAGTAGTAGTATGATATTAAGCTCTTTTGGGGAGTCCATCACTCACAAATGAATCACACACGGGGTCTTTTGTTGTTGTTTGTTTTTTATTTTTAATTTTTTCGAGACAGGGTTTCTCCATGTATCTCCAGCTGTCTTGGAACTCACTATGTATCTAGGATGGCTTTGAACTCTTACAGATTGCCTGCCTCTGCCTCCCTCTGCCTCCCTGAGTGCTGGGATTAAAGGCGTGCAATACCACCACCTGGCAGGAGTCTTAGTCTTATTTATAAACATCCAGCCATGACTTGTTTCTTGGCTGCTTTTCTTTTCTACCCCACCACCCCCCCACCCACCCCCACCCCGCGAGACAGCGTTTCTCTGTAGCTTTGGCGCCTGTCCTGGAACTAGCTCTTGTAGGGCAGGCTGGCCTCAAACTCAGAGAACCGCCTGCCTCTGCCTCCCGAGTGCTGGGATTAAAGGTGTGTGCTACTACCTCCCGGCTCTTGCCTGATTTTCTTAACTTAAATCACCCCATCTACTTTTTGTCTCTGGGCTTTTCCTGTTCTCGTCTTACTTCTTTAAATCTTACTCCATGGATTGCTGTGTAGCTGTGTGGTTGACCCCTGATATCCTCCTCCTCCTCAGGCTACTTCTCCGAACCCCAGATTTCTCCTACTATATATTCTCTCTGCCTTCCAGCCCCCCCTATCCTTTCTCCTGCCTCGATACTGGCCATTCTACACAGCTAAGTATCACAACTTTACGGAGTTAAACAAATGCAGCATAAACAAAAGTAACACACCTTAAAATAATATTACCAACAAAATTTCTCTGTGTAGCCCTGACTGTCCTGGAACCCATGTGAAGACACAGCTGATCTTGAACTCAGAGATCTGTCTGCCTCTGCCACCAGAGTGCTGGGATTAAAGGCCTGTACCGACACACCCAGCTGTTTGTTTGTTTGTTTGTTTGTTTTTTTAATATTAAACCAACTTTCCTTTCTTGCTGTCATTGCTATCTGGTCATGGTATATAATTATTATTTTTAAATTTTATTGATTTTTATTGAGTTTTACATTTTTCTCTGCTCCCCTCCTTCCCTCGCCCCTCCCCTTCAACCCTCTCCCATGGTCCCCATGCACCCAATTTACTTAGGAGATCTTGTCTTTTTCTACTTCCCATGTAGATTAGATTGATGTATGTCTCTCTTAGGGTCCTCATTGTTGTCTAGGTGCTCTGGGATTGTGATTTGTGGGCTAGTTTTCTTTGCTTTATGTTTAAAAACCACTTATGTGTGAGTACATGTGATAATTGTCTTTCTGGGTCTGAGTTACCTCACTCAAAATGATGTTTTCTAGCTCCATCCATTTGCCTGCAAATTTCAAATTTCATGAGTTCTTTGTATATTTTGGAGATCAGACCTTTGTCTGATGTGGGGTTGGTGAAGATCTTTTCCCATT